AAAATATTTTGAGCACTCCTAAAAGGAATACTGGCACGTAATCAAGGGATGGAGGGAGTTATATATTTGTTAAAATTCACGAACGGTTTTCAAATGACAGTTCATTGTACCTAACCCTAAATCTTTTTGGGATTAAGGTTGTTTTTGTATTTGTAATAAAATAAGTTGAAGTTTAGCATATGAATAGTAAGAGAAGTCAAACATAACATTATAATGTCGATTGTCTTGCAAGATGCTGTTGCTTGGTTTATGCCCATTCATTCGGCTGAAATGGTATTCTTGTGTGCTAAATTCTGACAAATCATTTTTATCATGATTTGGATTCAATGATCTGATGGCTGTTGTTTGTTACAGTTATAATTTTTGTATTCGGTTAGCAAGTAATAGCATCTAGGTTTAGAGAGTGCATTTATTTTCTTGCTTTGTCATGGAATATGTTCGTCGATGGTCTTACTTACATTGTGGCAGAAGCTACACACTGTAAGCAGGCCGACTTGGACTTCCGAGGGCATGAGGAGATCTACGCTGAACCTGGCGGAGTGATGGACTTCGAGGAAGATAGAATCCGACCTAAGAGGTAGTTTCCCTGCAGTCAAGCTTTCTATAATGCACCAGTTTATGTATTCACTATTCAGTAGTACTCAATATAGTGGATTCTTTTTGTTGACATGTTTTTTTGACTGCAGGAGGCGGCATCCACTACATTGAACAGTGGGAGATAGAGTGTTTATCAGGTGACTGCTGGTTTGGACAGCGGCAAACTGCACAGATTTCTGCTTTTGGAGATAATACAACTTTACTTTTGGACCATTGTCGCTGATCTTTGACCTTTTGCAAAGTTGGCAACTATACAAGCCCCCTGAATCCATGTTAAATTTTCATTAGAGTAGGTGGTCTGTTTTGGTGTTGAAGGGTTGAATTTTTCATGGGTGGATCTTGGGATTGTAATAGTTACAATATATTTTCGAGGTTTAGTTAAGATTCGTAGTTAATATAATCTTCTTGATTGATCTATGACTATTGACGTGAAAATTTTGGTGCTTTTATAGCAAGATGAAGTGAATTTGGCGCAGTATCGATTTCATCGTCCATTGATCTACGTCTTCTGCTTTGCTTTTTTTTATCATGTATCAAACATATATGTTTCGTTTTGTGGAATTGGGATTTTTTGGTTGCTGAAGAAAAGGGGATAAAATAATATGACAAGGCTGGAGATGTTTCAGCTTGCAATTAGACTCAATCTCAACTTGCAGGCGAAACAGTCAACAACTTTGTCATAGACATGATGCAAAATAACTAAATAAGCACACACTATCTTCTGGCTTTCCTTTATTTCTCACAAGCTGTTCTTTCTATGTGTGTATTGGGATATCGTTTTCATAAATGAAAGGAAAATGAAAACAGTGAAAACATGTCAATGACAAACTTGTGAAACATATGCCACATTAGTGAGGGAAAAATCAAGACATCTCAGTACTCAAATTACGAAGTTCGTCAAGAATTGCGCAATAGTTGTTGACATATCTCAAAAATCGCCTTTGTTAACACTTTGTTTGAATAGAAGGAGATGGAAGGAAAAGAAGGGAAGAAAAAGGGAGGGGAACAAACTTTCTTGTTTGGGTAAAGAATTGGGGGAAGGAAGAGAAAGGAGAGGGAGAGATCCATTTTCCCTTTCTCTTTTTCCTATATTTTTCCTATCTTTTCTTTTCCTTTCGACTCCATCTGCCTAAAAGGGCGAGTGTAAGATACACCAAGATTTTATTTTATTTTCGTTTGAAGATTTATACTCCTATGATCAATTACGTATTTAATCATCAAAATAAGCAAAAAAATATTTTAAGTGTACGATGCACGTGCAGGGAAGTTCTAATACATCATCATTAGGCACAAGTAAAATTACATAATAGCCTTTTTATACTAATGGAATTCCTAATAGTACTACTATTGAAAACATATATAGTACTACAAAAAATGTTCAGTAGTACTCTCAAAATGTCATTATTTACAAAATTGCCATTACCGTTTTCCGGGTCAAGAAAGGAGGATCCATTTTCGATATTTCCATATATTCCAGAAGACAGAGCTCAAAACCCCCTCCATTTTCTCTCTCCTCTTTCTGCTAACTGAGCCAATCATCAATGGCGGAAGAAGATGAAGTAACAATGGAAGTCGAAGCTGCTGAAGCCGTTTATGGCGACGACTGTATCGTTCTCAATAGATTTCCTCCTCATCTTCGTCTCCACATCAAACCTCGTACCGCCGACGTCCATTCTCAACAGGTCTCTTTTTTTTTTTTTTTTTTTTTTTTTTTTTTTTTTGCTCGTAATTAATATTATGGGTTTAATTTCTTAATTCTATTGTTAATTTAGCTATTTATCTACTTTTTGATTTTTGATTTGTAATTATAGAATTTAATATCAGTACTAGTATTTGAATTAAAGTTATTCAGATACTTTTTGATCAGATTTTTATGTTGATTTATTCGATTATGATCATTTTACATTGATTGCAACTTTTTTTTTAATTTCCAACTTACGTTTCATAGGATGAATAAACATAGAATTAGATTGTTGATATGAAAGTATGTGATTGTGAAGAATTTGCTAAAGCCCTAAGGTTTACGGCTTAAAAGGTTGAAGGCAGTATAATTGTATTAATAATGCATAACAAGATTATATGAAAAAAAAACCTTGTGATTTTTTTACCCCAATTCTGTTTTTGTTGAGTTTCTACTTTCCGAACAATCGATGAACGAATGGAAGAATTTCCCGCGGATTTTTGTTTATTGATATTAACTCTTGGGTCTATCATCCTACCTGTTTTTGGTGGAGCTAAGGTGTTTGTTGATATTTTAATTGGAAATTGAGATGCCTATTTCAGCTGTTATTGAAAACTGAGGTTCCTTAAAGGTAAATTGAAAACTAGTACCTACTAAATTGTGAACCTTTGTTGTTTGCTGTCTCGGGTAGCAACTCCATGAGGCAAGTAGTAAACGAAAGAGAACTAGATCAGCTTATTGTTCTAGAGTCTAGACGGCTAGACCATTGAATTGAGGCCTAAGACCTCTATTGTGTTTCTTTCGAAGTTTATTGTTAACTTGCTTGCCTTGACTTATGCAGTGTCAAAACTTAACAAAAGCGTTTTTTTCACCTTTTATGTAGTTTGTGGAAGCAACAATTGAGTTACGGGCTGGTATGCAGGTAAAGTTTTCTACTTTTGTATATAATTATCCCCCTTTCTAGTTTTGGTGAGTCAAGGGAATGGCATAGCCTGACATCTCAATGTGAAGAAAATTTCATGTTTCTATAACCTTTGTTTATTCCCAGTTGCCCCTGTTATATTTCGGAAGACATTTTAAGAGTTTCCTTGCTTCGGTTTTGTACCTCTTTTCTGTCTAATATTTACCTTCAATTTGTGGCAGTATCCCAGTGATCCACCTTATGTTGATATTATAGGTTCTAAAGGACTTGATGAGAAAAGGCAAAAGCATCTGATTTAGTGGTTTACATGAGAAGGCTCATGAACTTGCGTCTTGCTTAATGCTTGTGGCGCTTTGCGAGGTTAGCTCATTCCAATTTTCATGTGAATATGTGATGCACATAATAAAATATTCCCTTTTTGACTTGGGTACAGAGAATTTAGTTTTTTTTTTTTTTTTTTATATTACAAGAAACAGCAGATCAATGTAGTTCTGAACTTGCCAAACATTGAGGTGGTCAAGTTAGTACAAAAATAAAATCGACAAAACTTTTTTTAAGTAATTAACTTTTTGACGTCACTTATTTGAAAAAGAAATTTAGAGAGTATTGCTTTGTGTTGTTTTCTACATGCGAGTAGTTGGTTAGTTTTTTTTTTTTTTTTTTTTTTTTTTTTTTTTTTTTTTTTTTTTTTTCTCTTTTCTTTTCTATTCTTCTGGACTATATGCCATTAAAGCTTCCTTAAGGACTAGCTGATGCAGGATTCATACTCAGCTGCTATCGTTATTGTGTCACTATAATCCTTTTTTTAAAAAAAAAAAATAAAAAATTTACAAAGAAGGTTATTTTATGAATTGGGCCTCTAAACACATATATTTCTCGTTGCAATAGGAACGCTGTGGAAATTCTTACCAGCATGAACCACCCTGAAGGTGATGATTGTCCCATTGTGTTTGTATCCTTTGGTAACAGAAGATAAGCACAGTGACGCCCAGCCATTTATGAAGTTGATGTCTTGCTTTCATTGCTTCACTGGTAAAGCCTAAATCCTTATTCTGTAATATACTAGTATGCATCAAATGACAGATAATTTCTCTTACATGGTTGTTGTCTTGATTTTTGCCTGTGTTGATGTAGTGAGTGCATTGTAAGATGGTTGAAATGGTTCCTGAGACAAAAATGATTGCCTGCCATGGAACCTCAAGTAACTCCGTCAACTATTGTCCATTGAAGAAAACAATTCTGGCTTCAGGCAAGACATGTTTGACCAATATAGTTACTTTCCACTAAAACAATTGCGTCTAGCTGTCCGAAAAGTTTGTGCATGTTGTCGATTTATCCAATAGTTGTTCAAGATTTATCTGATAGTACTTTGGTCTTAAGCTCATAGAGGCAGATTGCATTGGCTAGATCTTCTTAGCAGTGTGTCATGTGCTACCTCTACCCATGACGGCCATGATTTACATTGTTTAACATCTATTGTGAAAACTCCACAATGATGGCTCTGTTGTCTTGGGGAACGTTGAAGCTAACAGATATATCTCGGCAAAATGATGTGTGTGTAATTAGCACTCTGTTTTAAAAGAAAGTTTGTTAAAGTTAAACTGCAAATCAGCAGCTCTAGGATTTTAATGACCCCCCCCCCCTCCCCTAAAAAAAAAAAAAAAAAAAAAAAAAAAAAAAGAGTGTGTAGAGTTGTAGACTCCTCAAATCTGCTGGCTAGCAACTCTGTATCAATCAGGAAATTTCTACCTTGTTATTTTTATTAGGATTGCTCTGGAGGCTGGAACTTTCCTTAAAAAGACTCTAAAATTGACCCTTCCCCTAAAACTCAACCTGGATTCATCTGAAAGTATGTGTTCACAAACAAGATTTTGGAACAAAAAAACTGACAAAACTTGCAAAAAACTACTTAGTTCTACAAAGTCATCTGGAACCGGTCTGTTCCATATTTGAAATTACCTGATCCGAAACCTGTCTAAACCCTACCCTTTTGACAGGTCTAATTCTGATGATGCTTGACAGTTGATTTTTCTCTATGCCACTTATGCTTTGCATTTGCATGTTAAATAGCTTTTGAGTGTCACCTAAATTAAGCCCTCGATGAGAGAATCTAAGATATCTTGGCAGAGATTATTAGTTTTTGGGGAAAATGTGGCAATTATACGACTCTTTTCAGTTTAACCTTGTCCTTGAGATTTGTCCATTGGCATTTCATCATTGACACCAAGTGTTTTTTTTTTTTTTTTTTTGAAACTGACACTAAAGTTAGCTATGATAGTTGGAATAACGGAACTGATCTAGCTCACTTGAAGTGATAAATTACTGATATACTTTTGAGTCTCCAGAATTTGTCATGTAAGATGATCTGTGAATTGCAAGTATATGATGATGCCTTACTAAGAAGGTTACGCACCTAAATGATTAAGAATGGAATTGGTAGCTTTGTGGACTTTAGACAGTCATAATTGCCTCCTTCAATCTTAGTGGTGCTCCTCTGCTTGTTTGTTTTTCACTGATTCTTTTAACTAATTGTTCAACAGAATTACGCAAAATGATGGGAGATAGTACAGGAAACTGTCCTGTCTGTCGTAAAGTCTTCCTCGCCAAGGACATTGAGCATGTGCTCAACTTAGTTGGTTCTCAATGAATGCAGAATTGGGTATGTAATAAGAGATTTCCTATTCCAAAATTTGTTTTTTTTTGATTAACAGATTTCATGGGAAGACACAGTCACTCTAGCAGTGCTATTTTTAATCAGTTATGTAACTTTAGCGTAAGATGAAAAGTATCAAATTGGTCAATGTTTTCCTCTTGACAAGTCAGTGATGCTTGTGACCTCGTGTGTGATTAAAGCTGCTAGCACTAGGACTAGGCACTTGCACTTTTACA